CTGCAAAGCCCCTCAGCGCCTCCTTCCCCACCTGGGCAGCCTCCTCTGTGTCCCGCGGAGCCCGTGTTTCTCCCCCTGTCCGCACTGGGTTCGAATCCTGGCTCAGATGTTGAGCGGCTGTGTCCGTGGCTGCCTGCATGGCCTCTCTGAGCTCAGGCTCCCGTGTGGTTAGTGACACCCACGCACCTCCCACCACGGCGGTGGAGTGACTCGACTCGAGGTGACGCAGACGCTGCGACTCTCCTGCCCCGTCACTGAGGGAAGACGAGACTTCTCCCGAGCTCCGCAGGGGGCAGCCGCGGGTGCCCAAAAGCCTGACTAAAAGTGAACACTTCCCCCACTGAAATAGAGCAGGGCTGCTGTCGGCAGCAGACTGTCGCACTAAGAAACTGTTTGTCCATAACTTGCAGAAACTATTTTTAAAATAACCCAAACACATGTTGCCACAGTGAAAACCACAGAAATGAATCCCAAACACACACACACAGACACACCACAAATGCACACCCAGAGACACACAGAGACACACACCACACACGCACACAGAGACACACACAGACACACACCACACACACGTGCACAGAGACGCACACACACAGAGACACACACAACACACACACATGCACAGACACACACACCGCACACAGAGACACACACAGACACACACACATACACAGAGACACACCACACACATGTGCACAGAGATACACACCACACACGCACAGAGACACACAGAGACACACACCACAAACACGCACAGAGACACACACACTGCACAGAGACACACACACACATGCACACAGAGACACACAGAGAGACACAGACACACACCACACACGCACACACACACAGACACATAGACACACCACACAGACACACATGCACACACAGAGACACACACAGACACACACCACACACGTGCACAGAGACACACATCACACACAGAGACACAGACACACCACACAGCACACACACAGACACACACAGACATGCACACAGAGACACACACCACACACACACACACACACACAGCACAGCTGTCACGGGCGAGGAAAGGATACATCCGCTGCTCCCTGGTGTTCAAACCCGCTGGGATGGTCTCTCCTTCCCGTGAAGGGCGTGTGGGCCAGGATGCCAACGCAAAAGCCAGCTCAGTTCTGTGTAATCAGTTTGTTGCGGCAAGAGAGGGTGGGGTGTCTCAGGTGTCAGGTGGGGCCCTGAGCTGTCACAAAGCACCCGAGCAGATGGGACCCCCCCATTCCCAGCCCTGTTCTACAGTCGATGGTCTTGGGGACTACAGCCCCTGGCATTTACAGTCACCTAAAGCAGGACTCGTGTCTTGAAAACAGGCTGTCCACGCAGCTGGACAAACGTAGACTGCTCAGGAGCAGGGCAGGTCTCAAGCTTTGGTTCAAAGCTGGGGTCTGTTGCCCACCAGCAGTGCCATCTTAGGTAAGTTACCCTCTGGGCTTCTATTTTGGCTCACAAAGCTTCTCTTGTGGTTTTGCTGGTATGGCCTAGTGAATCCCTGGTGTGTCCCCAGTGCTTGGCCATTCTTTATCCCTGGCTGCTGTATTCAGGTAGGGCTTGGCAAACTTTAAGGGGCTGGATAGCAAATACGTTAGGGTTTGCCACCGTGTATATGGTTTGTGCTGCAAGTCCTCAGCTCACTGCTCTGGCCTAGTGCGAAGCAGCCACAGGCAATGTATGAAGTGCTGGCTGTGGTTGTTTCCAACAAAACCTTGTTTCTAAAACCGGGTGGGCAGTATCCCTACGATGGCACCTGTCAGGAGGCTGTGGTAGAGGCAGTGGAAAGGGACTGGCAGGACCCCCTGCAGTGAGTGGAAATCCTCACCTTACATGGGATGGGCCTGGGGACATCGCCACCTTGTGGCACTGAGAAGCATTGCTAAGGAACCTTAAACTGGGGGCCCTTGCCGTCGGGGGTCTACCAGTGAGGCTGGGGTGCCACTGATCATGTCCCTAGACTTGTGGGCAGTATTGTCCATACATGCACACTGCCATGTTTCTGGGGAGAAGACTCAGCTTTCTTTAAATTATTTAAGGGGTCTTAACCCTAAGAGGTTAAAAAGCTGCTGTGTTAACCCAGCAATTCTCCAGACTTAGTGAAGATCCTAGTGACCATGGGGTCCTTAAAGAGGAGCAGTCGGGGTGCTTAGCAGTCCCCGTCTTCTCTGGGCCCCTCTCGGGCGAGTGGCTCAAGGCCTACTGCCCTCTGGCCCCGGCTGGGGATAACCTCGTGTCATAAGAGCTTGCTCCCAGCTGCCCACGGTGCATCCCACCTTCCGCCTCCTCCCCAGGCCTGTAGAAGTGGGGGTGGCTCACGGGACCCCAGCTCCCTGCCCTCGGGCCGTAACAGCTTGGATCTCAAATGTCCTCCGGAGGCCACGTGTTGTCCCACCTGACAGTGCTCAGTGGTCTGTGGTTACCGGGGAGGTGGCAGTGCTACCCCAAAGACCGCCCCTTGGCAGGTGAAGCTGGCTGGAGGGAGCAGGCACTGCTCACCTACCCTGGCTGCAGGGCTGTGCAGCCGCCCCAAAGATGGCTCACAAAACCGAGCGTTTATCATAGCTGCTGCCGACCTGTGAGCCAGGCCATGGTGGACGTCAGCAGCGGGCCCGAGCAGCAACAGGGCCCAGGGTGCATGCTGCCTGTGCTGGAAGGGGTTGAGCCCTCAGGTGGACTTGAATGGCCCCCGCCCTGGGAAGACAACCAGGGGTCCTTTCAGGGGGAAGCATCCACCTGTGGGGCACTGGCCAGGCATGCAGAGGCCAAGGCCCAGCTCGGGAGCAGCAGCAGTGTGAGAAGCGAGGTGTGGTCTGGCTGCTGGGAAAGCCCCGGACACCTCACAAAGCAGAGTGGGCAGCTCAGGGCACTCACGGCCAGCAGAGGCCCGCCCAGAAGGGTTCCCCAGGCTGTGCACCCACTTCCCCGGACACAGGGCTCTAGCAATGGCCGCAGTCCCCGGCCTGGGCGGAGGAGCATTTGTCCTTCCTCAAGGGGAGCCAGGCTGCCCTCGGCCGGCAGTGTGGTCTGTGACCCGACAGTCCTGCGAGTCTGCAGGAATCCACATCTTCCAGGCTCCCGAGACCCGACGCCACTTGGGCTCTGGCAGAGGTGTCACTGGGCCCCTGAGATCACTCCCAGCAAGTCCCCTGCAGGCTTCTCCCAAATGGGCATTGGGCTCCCAAGCTCTGCTGACCTCATGCCAGCCCTTTCTGCCAAGGGCAGACTGCACCTGGGGCCATGTGACTCAGCCCGCAGGAGTCCTCTTCGCCCCGGGCCATGCGGCCTTGGGGTGGCATCTAGTTCCTCTCACGGCCTGAGGTCCTGTCCCCTCCCAGCCAGGAGCTCTAGGGCACATGGGGGTCTGCATAGCGTGGAAGGTGAGGCCTGAGTGTTCCAAGTGGCCGACCACGCTCCCAGCTGGCAGGACAGCATCTGAAGTGGAGGTGCAGGGGCCCCTGGGAGGCCAGGAGGAGCAAAGCCTGCCACCCTGTCGCTGGGAGCAGAGGGTGAAGCGGGAGCCTGGGCAGGTCCAGGTGCTTGGCACTCAGTGGTGACTGGGGAGCCCTGGACAACAGGCCCGTGAGCAGGAGCGGGGGACACTCCTGCATCCTGAGGCCTCTGCTGAAGGTGTCTTCATGGGTAAATTCCTAGTGACAGTGAGGTCCGGCCTGAGACCAGGGGACACGGAAGGTGTAGGACAAGCCCACGGGAGGGGCGGAGGCCAGGAAGTCCCCTCTGAGTGTCCTGTGGGCGGGTGTAGGGGGCACTCGGGACCGTGGGGGTGCCGAGCTGAGTCACTGACATTTCCTGCCAAGGGGCAGCTCCGGGGGAAGCCCTGTCCACGGGCGGCTGGAGTCTCAGGCTGTGCAGGAGGCTGAGCGCGAGGGTCTGCAGGGCTCAAGGGAGCCGAGGCCTCTCCAGGGAGGTGACATCTGCCTCGTGAGCCTGGTTTTGGGTCTGCGGTGGGGCAGGGCGAGGGGGCCTTTCACAGAGCGCACAAGGGATAGGTGGAGGCTGCTGCAGCCGGGGTGAGGCCGGCCGTGCGGCTTGGCCTGGGGACCGTCCTGAGAAGCCAGACTGCATCCTCGGGGTTGGGGCAGAAAGCCCATCTCCCTACGTGTCCCACAGGCGGAAGCTTTGTCCCACGGAGGACGAGACCTCCCAGACATCAAGGTCACACAGCCTCCAGGTCCACGGGGTCCCACAGCGCAGCTCAGAACAGGGTGGGGGCCGGCCTGGGGCTGCTGAGTTGTGCCTGCTGATGCTGGCTGGACCCAGGGGTGGTGCCGTTGGCCAGAGGTGGCCCAAGGATCAGAGGTGTGCACAGGTACTATTTGTTGACCTGGGGTGAGCTCCCAGGCAAGGGCCAGAAGGTGCAAAGGCACTGTGACTTCCATTTTCTGCCCCTCCATCCTGTGGCTCCCAAAAGTGACGCAGAGGACATAGCCCTGTCCCGAGTAAAGGATTCTGCGTTCTGTCAATGAGTCCCCAGGAAGCCAGGGCTGGAGAGGCCCAAGGGGAGCACACGACAGGTGACCTCCGGGATGCTTCCCCTGCGGCCAGGCTTCTGCACTCAGGCTGTCCCCGACCAACCTGGCCCGACCCACTGAACACTCTGGGCAGTGGCCGAGTGCTGAGTCCGGTGTTCAGGCCAGAGAGATGAGGTGAGCCAGGGCTCTGCCTGCAGACGCCGCCGTGAAAGAAGCAAGCGGGAATGGTCTTGAGTCCAGGCATTCTGGGTTCAAGTTTCCGTTCCCCCGGCACCCAGTCCAAGCCTCAGTTTCCTCATCTGTACAACAGACTCCAGAGCCTATTCACAGAAGTGACCCGGGAAACGTGGAGTGAGGCTCCACACGCCGGAGCCATGGCGTCCAGAGGCGGGGGCTCCTCTGAAGAAGCTCCTCTGGGTTCCCAAGACCCCCAGCCCAGCCCCAGGGCTGGGGTCAGAAGGATCACACTGCAGCCAGCGCTGGTCTCCAGGGCCTTTATTAGGGAGGCTGGGCCAGGGTCTCAGTCCCAGGTCCCACAGTTCCCAGGAGGGTGCAGAGGGGAGCTCCTCGGGGAGACAGCCCTCCCGGGAAAAGGCACCGATGGCAGCACCTGGAGCGAGGGCCAGGTTCTGTGCGCACCGGTGGACTGGGGGCTAAACACAGCCGAGGCGGAAGAGGCCACTGCGGCGGCGCCGAGTGCGAAAGAAGCTCCGAGCAGCCGGGCGCGAAGGGAAGAACAGAGCCCAGCCTATCAGTCTTAGTGTTCTGTGTCACTTCTAAAAACCAACATAATAAATATAACTTAAAAACTTCTCACGGGACACTACAGGGGAAGCAGGCGAGGGACGCTCCCAAGCATGCCAAGCAGTGCCGACGCCGGGCCTGGAGCCCTGCTCCTCGCAGGGGCGTCCTGCCCTCAGCCGCATGGGGCGGGCGGACAGCAGGGCCGGGCAGGGCAGGGCCGGAGAGGCAGAAGTGGTGAGGGGCCGGCGCGGCACACCGAACTTGGGCAGAATGGAGCACGCGGCAGCAGAGCGGGCCTGCAGGAGGCCTCCCCACGCCGCTCGGTGGGCAGCAGCCCCGCCCTGGCCTCAGAAGCGGCTCTGGCCCGTGAACAAATGATCATCTATCTGCGTAAGTGCCCGGGCTGCGAGGAGCTGGTGCCTCCAAGTGCTGGGGAAGCTCTGCTCTCTTCCACAGGTTAAACCGGCCCTGCAGCTTTGCTCGTGGAATCAGCTTGCTTTAGCAAACAGTTTTCTCAGATCGCCCGGGGTAACTTCTGGCCAGCTCTGAGCTCGCGGGGTCACTTCCCTGAAGATGGCTGAAGCACAGCCCCCACCTGTGGCCCACACCCTGAGGGCCCTGCCAGCTCCCGCGTCTCGGGCCTGTGTGGCACTCCCCCCACCCGCCTGCCTCCCGATCACGCGCTGTCACAGCTCAGGCTCAGCAAGGCAGGGTGTGACCATCAGCAAGTCAGCCCACATGGGTACCGCAGCTCTGAACAGGAACCAGGACGTTTAAGTGATTTCCTTTCTAAAAATCTATACTTACACATCCTCTTGGGTCCCACCCCGGCCCCGCCAACGTTCACTCACCCACCTGGCACGAAAGGGGAAACACTTGTCATGCGGGCCGACTAGTAGCCCCCCGCCCCCGGGACCCCCTGGAGCAACCCACCAGGTACATACTGTCCCACTGCTGCCGGCAGTGTCTCCAGCAGCCTCGCTGGCCTGTGACCCAGCGAACCTCCGACAGGCATGGAGGGCTAGCAAGGCCCGAGGGGCCAGGGGCTCAGTTCTTAAAATATCATGCAAATTGCACATTCTTCTCAGTAACCAGACTGACTTTAGTCACCAATGGCCCCCAGGAATCCAGGCAGCCAGGGCCTCCAGGAAGAGGCCTGGGGCTTCCCAGGGCACCCAGCACGTGCCCTGGGAGTCACACACACTACCTGCGGAGCACGGGTCTGAGCCCTTCAGGTTGTAAGGCTTATTTCAGAGAAAGTGTGGAAATAATGCCAGTTCACCAGGACCCTGCTTCCTTCTGGCCTGGCACTGGCCTAGACCCCGCCCCAACTATTTGAAAGGAGCCCATGGAAGTGGGCAGGGCTGACCAGCACCAGGGGTGCGAGGGCACAAGGGACAGCATCCTCTGCCGAGCAGGCACTGCAGGCCCCCCGATCTGTGCCCAGATCAGCCCCACCCAGCCCTGGACCTGGAACAGCACGGTGAGAGTGGAAGGCCCCAGAAAGGCTGTGAGCAGTGGTTCTGGAGGCAGCAGCGGCCTCTCTGGATGCTCAGCTTTGCACAGCGCTCCCTCCGAAACCGGGCCAGAATCCCAGACGGAGGAACACAGCTCCTGCCTGGCCCCTCCTAGCGAGGCCTGCGGCAGAGAACACTGCCAAGCCGGCTTCTGCCAGAGCAGGGCGGTTTCCACCTCAGCCCTAAGAAGGCCTCCGGGGCACCTTGGGCACCCGGGGTTGTTCACTGGGGAGTCCTCTGCTCCCACATGTGCTTTCCCAGAATTTGGGGAGCGTGGCCTGGATGCCGGCCTCTCTGGGAGGGAGTGCTACACTCTGGCCACCAGGGGGCAGCAGGCCCCACAGTAGCCCACTCTGGGCCTGTGCTTCCGGGGTCTCCCAGAGCCAGGGGTCCCAGGGACCCCACACCCTGCCAGCTCTAACCCAACTATCTGGTAAGGGAAGCGGAGCCTTGGCCTGTCAAGTCTCCTAGGAGGTGACTATTTACAAAGAGCAGGCCTCTCTGCTGCAAGGGGTCTTGCTGTGCAGCGAGGGAGGGTCAGTTCTGGGGCTGGGCCCAGGCGCCGGGAGCAAGTCAAGGAGCAGGGAGGCGCAGGGAGCAGAGCGGCGGCCTCAGGCCAGCAGGGCACCCTGGGACATTTCCGTCAGGATGTCGATGAGGTTGTTCAGCCCGGACAGGTAGCCGTCCTCCCGGTTCCCCTCCTGCCAGGGCACATCGTGCAGCAGCGTCTGGCCCTCCGGCAGGGGCGTGGTCTTCCCAAAGTCGATCATCCACACCTTGGCCTGGTCCTTCCTGTCGTGGATGAAGAGCAGGGAGCTGCCAATGACCTGGAGGGGCAGAGGAGAGGCTGCTCGCTGGAGCCCTGAGCCAGATGACCTGGGACCTGCCATTCTGCTCCCTCTTCAGCCAGGCAGCCAGGCTGGCTGGAGAGGACCACTCCTGGGCAGCGCCCACGGGACCCTGCGTGAGACCCGGGAGCAGCGGGGAGGGGCGTGGAACTGCAGACCAGCGCTGGCCGCCACACTCACCGCCGTTCTGGACCACAACCGCACGGGGGCCACGCCTTCCCTCCCGGGCTTGCTCTTCCCCAACACCCCGAGCCATAGCTCCGAAGAGGGGCCCGGAGACTCCAGGCCCTACTGCGGGGGTGAGGAAAGGACCCTGGCCCGGCAACACAAGCCCCTGTGGACTCTGGCTCCACAGGTCCAGCAGGGCCTCCTCGCCTGGCCCCAGGCCTTGTCCCACCATCCCCCTGGGGACAGCAAGCCCTCCCTCCACCCTGGGCAAGGGTAGAGTCTTCCACAGGAGCAGGAGATCCTTCTGTCAGGCACAGGGCAGCTCTGCCTGAAATGTGCCCAGCCTCAGCCTGGGGTCTAAGCTGTCAGGCAGCTTCCTGTCCTCCAGGGAGGTGGGCGGAAGCAAGAGGACTCTGCTGGGGGTACAAGGACACTCACCAGCAAGGAATAGAGGCCCCAGGAGCAGCAGGGGTCTGGGACCAAGCGGGAAAGGGCATTCGGAGGGCAACGGGACTAAAACAGATTCTGCAGTCAGAGTGAGACCAGCTGGACCCCTGGGGACCCAAGCACCGTCTGGGCACCCTGCCGGGGCCACCACACATAGTGGGCCAGGCAGGCCCTTGCAGAGAGGCAAGTGGGGAATGGAACCCCAGGTGAGGTCTTCGGTCTCCACCCAGGGAAGGGCCGGTGCTTGTAGGCATAGAGGTGTAGAGTGCTGTCCCCAGGACGCTCCTCCTCCCAGGTACCCAGGACTCTGTCTCCAGCTCCTCCTGTGAGTCTGCAGCCTTCTCCAGGAACAGCGTCAGGCTGAGGCTTTCTCCACTAGGGCACTCCAGGGACTGCACTCCCAGAGAGCTGCAAGTCTGCTGGAGCCTGGACCCACCTCACACGGTGTGGACCCTTCCAGGAGTGCATGTGCTGGGAGGCTGTAACTGTGTGTGTATGTGCGTGCGCGCGCACATGTGATGGATGTGCATCTGTGTGTGGTGCACACACACGGTGCTAGGAGCCCTGGACGGCCCCTGTTGGGCTCTTGTAAAGCGGACCTGTTGACCATTTCCAGAGCCTCCCCCAGGTGGCTCAGTCTCTGGAGCAATGTCCCTGAGGCGGCAGCAGATGGGAGGCCCAGCCCGGCTATCGAGTAGTGGCAGAGCCCTGCCAGCCTTGCTCCAGGCCTTCTCTGAGCCTCTCGGGGCAGCAGTAGGGCAGGTGGCCATTCCAGAATGCAGAGCACCTCTGCCCTGACTCCTGGCAGCGGGGAGGAAGCCCTGCCAACAGGTGTCCTGAACAAACAGATGCAGGGAGCAGAGCCGAGTCTCGACCCAGCTGCACTAAGACAGGGTCCCCTGGGACAGCCAAGGGCTGATCCTGGGCGGTGGCTCTGGTCACAGCCACCCTGAGCTACGGAGGCCTCTAGACTCGCTTGGCATGCAAGCTGTCTGCCGCCAGAGAGCAGAGGCACTGTGCCTACCTCATGGCACTTGAAGAAGGGAGAAACTTCTAGGGTGGTTCGAATGGCCTTCAGCCGGTCCCGGTAGGCGACCTGGAACAGAAAGATGAGCGAGCTGCACACACAGAGGGGGGAGGGGGGTTTTAAGCTCCACTGAGCCCCATTCAGAGGCACAAATGAGGTTCACTTATTCCACTTCTGCATCTACCCACAAGGAAACTGAGGCCCGAGAAGGTGAGGGTGGTTTGACCCCGCTCTGGGCCCCACCCTTTCTCCGTTCCACAGTCCTGAGAGCAGGAGGTGCAGGGGAGAGCAGCTCCAGAATGACACCCACTTGCCAGGAACCCCAGGAGGGCCAGCACCCTGGACCGTCCCAGCGAGGAGGCAGATCCAGGAGCAGCCACCCTGGCCTTGCTGACACCAGCGGCCTCTCCGCAGCGCCCCGCCAACTCCCACAGCATTCCCACCGGGCTCCGGGGGGCACCTGTCCTCCCCAGGGGCTGGCTCTGTGGGTCTCAGCACCCAGGCCCACAGAAAGCCGGAGGGACACACGACACCCAGAGCTCCTCCGATCCCTCGGCTCAGCCACAGCACAGGCTGACAGGGCCGGTTGGCAGCCCCAGGGTGCCTGGCAGCACGAATGAGCCCTTCTGGAAGCAACCCCTGGGGCAGCAATGCTGAGGCCCTGGGTCTCAGGGACCCAGGAGGCCTGGGGCACACACCAGCAGGGGCTCTCGTGGGGGGTCCTGGGTCTACGTCCCAGTGCACGTGGTTCTCTGACTGTCACAGCTGCTTGTGCAGCATGACATGCCCGGGCCTGGGGCCACGCAGCAAGTGTGGAGGGAATCGCAGTGTGGTGCGCATGCCCCAGCCCAGGCTCATGGCCGACTGACGGGCCTGCGGGGATGCAGTGGGACGAGGCGCAGATGGCCTGGCGAGTCAGGCAGACTGGGTTGCAGAACCCAGCTCCGCCCTTGGCGGGTCTGTGTCCTCGACCTCCCGTTTCCCACCCGCATGGGCCCAGAGCCCACAGCAGAGGGCTACAAAGAGGGTGTGAGGGGCACCTGGCACAGCGCCCGGGGGCGGCAGGAGCTGCGTGCCCTGGCAGGGCCACTGTCCTAAGGGGTGGGATGCCGGGAAGGCTGCTGAGGGCCGGCCCGACTCACCAGGATGTTGCGGTTTCCTTTTGTGAACTCCCTGAAGGCCTCGGCGACCTGCTCCCTTGTCTTGGTCTTCTTGAAGTCGCGGTTCACAGAGCCGTCGTCTTTCTGCGGAGGGACAGTGCCCCCAGAGGGGTCGGCAGGGGTCGGCAGGTGGGGAGCCCCGTCCCCCCCGACAGCCTGGCCCGGCCTGGCCAGGGCAGTGCAGCGCAGTGCAGGACGAGGAGGTGGACGTGCCAGGCGCAGGTGGCTGTCCTGGGCCCGGAGAGCACACAGGGGTGGCCCAACATCCCAGGCAGAGGGCAGCAGGGCGGAGAACAGGGGAGTGTGGCCCTGGCCCCCACCCTGAGCACAGGCAGCAGGGGATGCCGCACTTTCTGCAGGGGCCACTGCTGGGCTGGGCTCCTGCTCCTGCTCCTGCTGTGCACTCCCGCCCATGGGCCCTCCGCCACGGGGTCAGCAGGCGACTACTGCTGTGCCCCGGGGTGCACGTAAGCCACCTGCATCCTGCTCAGTAATGGCCCCAAAGCAGGGTCAGGTCAAATAGAGGCCCTCAAGTGCTGCCTGGAAATGAGAAGTTGAATGTTCTCTACTTAACAAGGAAAGCAAAACATCCCGTGCTGAGGCTGCTAAAATCTATGGCAAAACACATGTACCCGTGAGTTGCCATGGAGGAGAAGGAAACTCCTGCTAGCTCTGCTTCATACCACAAGCTGCAGGATTTGCAGATTAAGGGTTACCACAGTGTGGGTGGAGGAGGGACAGGGCGTGCACAGCCTGTACTGTCGTCTGTGGCTTCAGGCACCCGATTCGGGGCTCGGGATCCACCTGGGCTCAGGGGAATACTGCACAGGGTTCCCTGAAGGCAGGTCTGATCCTGCCTCCCATCTCCATCCTGGTCCATGGCTCCCATTCCTGGTGTCCTGGGCCCGCACCTGGGCCCTGCTAAGCCAGGGGACCTGTTCTCTAGGGACACAGGGCAGGGGTGGCTCTGGAAGGAGCCTGGCACAGATGCCTGTCCATCCCAGGCTAAAGGCAGCCAGTGTCTCATCACAGCTCTGCCTTCAAAAGAAGGGTGGTCGCTGGGGAGACACTGCCACTAGAAGCAGCTGGCTCGAGATGCCATGGGAGGGAGGCTGGCGGGAGCCTCCTTTGCTTCAGCCGGGGAGCTGGGTTCCTAGCTGCCCGCCCTCGACTCAGGGCTGGGCCCAGAGACAGGCAGCTCAAGACCAGACAGCGAGGGGAGACCCAGGGCCCCTGCTCTGAGGGAAGCGGCCTGACGCCTAGCCGAGGGCAGTCCCGCTGCACCCGGGTGGGGCCTGGGCCCGTCATCCCCCTGGGAGTCCCACCTTGATGCCCTCGATCCTGAAGCCAAGGGTGGCCGTGGAGCTGATGGTTTCCCTCCACTGCATGTAGCGTGGCTTGGTCACGGCCTGCTGGGCCCGCTCCTGCTCAGTGGGGGCCTCGGGGTCCACCTCGACCATTTTCTGGAACATGTCCTTCCGCAGGCTGGGCTTCTTCCGGGCCTTGCTGAGCTCCTCCTCCAGGTATGTCCTGGGGGCAGGCTGTGTGAGGCCCGGCCGCTGGCCGAGGCCCCGGGTCGGGTCAGTCTGCAGCCCCGGACAAGGCCCGCCCCTCAGGGACAGACTTCGGAAGGGACAGCCTTGAGGATCCAAGGCCATCCTGGAGCCCCGTGGCTGCTCCACGGAGACCCAGGGAGGCGGGCAGCAGAACGGCCCAAGGGCGGGTCAGACCCTTCTGTGGCCCTGCCCCAGCTCCCTGCTCAGATGTCTCAGGGTCTTTCTGAAGGGCAAGCCAGGAGGTGGCTCGAAAGTGCCACAGCACTGTGGGGAGAAGCAGCTCGGGGCTGGGGAGGCAAGCCTGGGGCTCTGGGGCTGCCCCTTCCTGAGGCCAGACCCTCTGAGAAAGCATCCCCCAGAGCGCATCCCTCTACCCTGCAGAGCACACGCGCAGGAGGGGGCTGGCTGAGCTGTGGAGGACCAAGGCCCTGGGGAAGCAACTGAGTCCCTGGGCTGTGGGTTGCTGTCCCTGGGCTGTGCCACCTGCTCTCTGCCCCAGAGCCCCCGAAGCTCCCACCAGTGCTGCCCTGGTCTCCCCTCGACAGCCTGCTGCCACCGGGCCGCTGACATCAGCAGGGCTGTTGCAGGATGGGGAAGCGGTCTCCCTCTGCCCTGTGTGGGCGGGAGCTGCCCTTGGAGGCCGCCCCTCTGCCTTCTGGCCTCTCACACTTCCTGCCTGGTCCTAGGCCTTGTCACAATGCCGCCCACCACCCCTGCTCCCATCTGGTGGGATGGTACCGAGAATGATCTGAACAAAGACCTGCACCTCACAAAGGTAGGTTTTCAGAAACCACTGTTGTCGGTGCTATTTTCACCAACAAGGAAAAGGGAAGAAACGAAATCCCGGGTGTGACCTGGGCCTGGTGGTTTAGGACATTTCGGATGACAAGGACCTTGGGTGGAGGTCTTGAACTTTTGGGTGGGCACTAGCACACATGCAAAAGCATGCACGCACCTTACACACACACACACACACACACACACACACACACACACACAAACACACCACCACTGTGCATGCGAGGCCAGCTCAGTGGCCAGGCTGGCCGTGGATCCGTGCATGCAGTGGGGCCAGGGTGCCATGCTCAGTGCTCCCTCGAGTGCTCCCAGGCCTGCACGTGGCGCTGGCTGCACAGGGCCCTCAACAGTTCCTTCAACAGGAAGCAGACTTTGAAGTCAAATCCTTGTTCACAGGGCCTTTCTCCAAGAAGGGGCAGACTGTGGCCATCCACAGCAGCCCAAGACCGGGGCCCCTGGTTCAGGTGGTCGCCAACTCTCCATGGGAGTCCCAAACCCAGGAACAGCCCGGCAGCACACACACACGCTTGTACCACCCTCCGCTGCCAGGAGAGCGGCCCGTGACTCCTAGAAGTCAGCCGCGCCGGGCTGGGGTACAGCCGTGCAAAGCTGGAGCACAGCTTCACTTTGCTGCTGTTTGGCTGGGTGGCCCTGGCGACATCCACGGCGGTGTTGGAATCCTGCTCAAAACAGAGCCAACCTGCCTCCTGGGCAGCTGTGGGAGTGTGAGGAAAGCAGCACCCAGAGCACACAGGTGTCCTCGGGACTCATGTGCAGGGGGCCTGGCGCGGTGGCACAGGTTTGGGGGAGCCCCCCCCACGAGTGCTTCTCTTGCTGCCCCTGCCCTGCTGAACTGCTGGTCACCCAGGTCCTTCCCAAGAGCCTGGGGTTCCATGCCAGAGAAGCTGCCAAAGTAAGAGGACAGGGCAGCTTCGGGGATGGGTGGGGGAGCCTCCTGTTCCCTGCAGCCTCCTGGGGAGCAGGCAGGTGGGGGGGCAGCAGCAGGAGGCGGGAGTAACGCCCAGTCTGTCATGTAGGGCGCCCTCGTGTGGGCATCTGCACAGACACCACGTGGCCTGGCTGCTTCACGTTGCTGAGACGCAGTGCTCAACGGCCGCCACAGGCAGGACCAGCCCTCCACTGTCCAGGTTGCGAGAGAGGGGCGGCCTCCCGCCAAGCATGCGCGTCCTGCACCGGGCAGGGTTGGGGCACTTTGGGCACAGAAACAGGACTGTGCAGAAGAGCAGTGGCCGTGAGGTGGCTGGAGGGACGCTCTGCCTCCCCCGTTCCCTGTGGGGCCCCTATGGGGAAGTGGCCAGGCCAAGGACAGTGCAGGAGCAGGCACCAGGGTCCCCAAGCCCCATCCCTGCCCGGAGGCCAAGGGAGCTCCATGCAGCCAGCTGTCAGGGCCCGAGTTTGGGACAGGACTCCCAGGAGGGGTGAGGGGGACAGGAGGGAGCCTGACCACTCCTCTCCCGGTTTGTCTCTCGCACCCCGCTTTCTCAGTTTCCTGCGTGTTTCTAACACGACGAAACCACTACAAGCATCCCAGGCTTGGGCTCTGAGCTCATCTTCCCCTTGCCTGTGATTGGCAAGGAAGCCCGGGTCCACATCCAGCCTGGGCGCCTGCAGCCAGAGCCAGGCCCTGCAGGACGCGCACAGCCACAGGCGCTCGTCCTGGGAGCGGCCAGCCTGGTCGCACTGTCCCCCTGGGTGGAGCCACGCATGCGCTCCTGGGAAGGAATGGCCGAGGGGGACGGGCAGGGGCGCCCAGCTCAGGGCAGCCGGTCAGTGCACGCCGCCTCCTCCTGCCTCTTCCCTTTCTCTTTTTCAGCTCGTCTCGTCTCTCCTGGCACATGCCACGCTGAGCCCGAGCCCCTGGGTGGGGGGCCACAGCCCAGTGACCCTCGCAGCCTCAGCACAAGTGGCTCTGCCGCGGCTCTCTCCTCCCTCCTCACCTGCCCCCAGCCCGGCCCCTGAGAGGGCTGCTCTGTCCGCCCACCCCGGGGGGTCGCCGCGCCCAGCCCACTGGGGAGGGGCAAGGCCAGGCCCCCAGCCCGATGCTATGGGGCGGCGGGGTCCCGGTTGCCTCTGGGCGTCGGTGGCCCCTGAGGGGGGCCTCACCTGATGCCCATCTTGCAGTCCATCACGCAGGGCGAGTCAAAGTCGGCCAGCAGGTCGTCCATCTGGTTGTAGCGCTCGCCGTCCTTCACCACGTCCCCGTGATAGGCGGGCACGAAGGGCCGCAACACATCGGCCATCAGCCGGTCCAGGCAGCGCTGCTCCGACTCGCAGTGCTTCTTCAGGATGCGGCCATTGGCGGCGGCCTTGAAGCTCCCTGCGGGGCGGGGCGTGGGAGGTTGGAGGCTTTGGTGCCGCCCATTGGGGCCCGGCACCTGGCGGCACGGGCCTCGAGCTGCCGCAGAGCTGGCTAAGCTGGGCCTGAAGATGTGGCGGGGCCTGGCCGTGGGCAGCACCTCAAGGGGAGAAGTCTGAGTCCCGACCCTGCTCACTGAGGACCCCCGAGCCTCTCAGCCCCGCCCTCCTTATCCGGGGCGGGGGCAGCAGGGGGCTGCATGAGAAACCTGGCCCCTCCGTACTGCGCTGCCCGCCTGTCCCAGCTCCGCTTCTCTGGCAACGTGGGTGGCTCCCGGTCTCGGCAGAACTGGGTGCCAGGACGGGGGACAGAGAGAGCTTGGACTTGGGCCTCTGAGGCAGCAACTCCTTCTGGACCACACCCTCAGGGTGTCCGGCCACGGGCCCTGGGCTGGACCAATGAGGTGTCAGACAGTGCTGGCTCGCAACAACCCGAAGGCCAGTAAAGCCAGGAAGGCCCACCAGCAGCCGCTAACTACCCTTGCCAGAGGGTCCACCTGTGGGCCGGGTGACTCTGGAGCTTCGGCTTCAGCTGCCCCCCTCCCCGTCACTGGTGGGTGACAGGGCATTGCCCGGCGCCTCTCGCCATCCTGCAGCTGTGGGTGACTTGCCTGCATCCTCCACCAGCCGCAAGCTCCTTCGGCAGAGACTACGCTGCATTAAGGCTGTAACCCTAGGGCCATGGTGACGCAGGTGTACAGCAGGAGCTCAGGGAGGCCGTAAGCTTTGCCTCTTTGTCCAGGGTGACAAGTGGTGGGCAAACTAAAGACTGAGGACTTCATCTGTTTTACCGAGTAAAATTGGAAGAGAGCTTGAGAGAGAAAGAGAAAGATTGAAAGCGCTAGAGACAGTGAGAGGTACAGAGGGAGGGAGGATGTGTGGTGCAGCACAGGGCGGCCCGGCTCTAGAAAGGCCCCTCGCACGTCTGCGGGCCACCTGCAGGTGGCAGCCTCAGACTGGAAACTCGGAGAGAAGCCGTGCTGAGGCCCGCGCGGCAGGAGCACGGTCGGGACCCGCCCTTCCCGCCTCTGCAGTTGCCTCCCGAGAACCCCTCCCGAGAACCGGTCCCTGCTGGCCGTCTAGGAGCGCCACTACCTGCGTGTCCTGCCAGCTGGACCCAGGGGTACTTCTTCTTGAAGGACATGACAAAGGGAGACCAGTGCACCATGTGTTTTATTTTCCTCCATGATTTGCTCTGGAAACAAGCAAACAAAAAGCGCTAATTAGAAAGACTGCCACTAAGCTGCCACCACTTTCTGGTCAGGATGAACTCCGAGCACAGTAGCACAGTCTGTGGCCAGTGGCCCAGAGCCGCCCTGCGCATGGTGCCAGGCCCTGCGTGGGCTCTGAGGACCTTGCCACCAGAATCTGTGTGGCACCCAGTAGCTGTGTCGTCCCACGTGACAGAGGCTGGGCCAATGCTGGGGGCCTCAGGGAAGAAGGCCCCGCAGCTCCGGTGGGTAACAGCGGGACAGCGGGGGGCAAGGTACTCCCAATCTCTCGCTCCCTCGGGGGCTGTGGGACGGCCGACCCCCTTCAAGCAGACAGCAGCGGTGCCTCTGGGGGAGACTGGCGAGGCTGTTGCCCTGTCACTGCACAGTGTTTGCAGACAGGCGGTCACAGACACCTCCTGCCTGCAAGTGGCTTGAGGGGGGTTTCAAAGGGAGAACACCTCCCACCCTGGGCCTCAGGACAAGCAAAGAGCCCACAGCTGCCTTTGTCTTCCTTCTTAGGCTGAGCAGCCAGGCCCGCCAGTACCTGGTACCTGTCTGAGGAGGACGGGTCCTCGGAGCAGAGAGAACTAAGATTTACTGAGAACCTTTACTTTGTTTGCACCATCAATACACAACCGTTATTGCTATTTCCCCTTGGAGAGCCAGGGATGTAGCTCAGTGGTGCTGCCACCTGCCTCGCGAGGGCAAGGACCCAAGTTCCATCCCCAGGACCAAAAACCCAACTATTTCCCCTTGGCCCCGAGCATCCAAGATGGAAGGAGAAGGCTGGGAGATTCAAATCTTCATCTACATAATCCCAGGACTGAGGGAGGCTGAGGCCAGAGGGTCGCAGGTTTGAGTCCAACCTGGGCAATTTAAGACAGAAACCCTGTTTCAAAATAGAAATAAAAAAGGCCGGGGTTTAGCTTACTGCAAAGGAAAGAATTACCAAAAATAAAAAAGCAAACAAACAAACCTCCCTCCCTCCTCTCCCTGCAGCAGAAAACATTTCCATAGAAAAAGAGGCCCTGAGTTACTTTAGTAAGGCCGGGACAGGGAGGTGGCCAAGGGCCCAGAGGGAGGAGGAAGAGTGGGAAACAGTTCCGGAGCCCGACAGACAGCGGGACCAGGAGCAGCCAAGCAGAGAGCAAAGCACCCAGGCGGCTCTGTGCTGAGGAGCGGCCCCAAGGAGCCCCACAAGCAGCTCCCCACTCCCTGCCCGAGGCACCCAGTCCTGCCTGACAGAGAAAAGTCTGTGCACGCTGGGTGACAGCAGCCCCGCTGTCATCTCTGTTCGTCACCCAGCCTCCAAGCAACATCTGCCTAAGGAAAAGGCCCCTTCCTGCTGGCCTGCCAGCTGTCACCCCCAGCACTGTCCCGCTGCCCGGGCTCAGGCCGCTCCCAGCCTTCAGTGAGGCGGCAGACTCGAGGCCCGAGACAAAGGGTGACGCTGCTCCTAGCTCCTGCTGCGAGACCTCCAAGGACTGGGGGAGGCTGAGCAGGCCCAGAGGAAGGCGCAGTTGCCCCGCCCTGCAGGTCTCCCCCTGGAGCAGGGCAGCCAGAGGTGGGCAGTTCGCGCAGCGAGCTCCCTGGGAAGGCCAGGGAGGCGCTGCCCCTGCTGTGGCCCCACATCCACTATTTCACTTGGAGACATAGTGGCACAGGAGCACTCCGGGCAGAGGCTAAAGGGGACACCCTAAGGCAAATGCTGGGAGTGGCGCACAATGGTGCACAAAGGTGCTACAGCTCCTTGGGAGGCTGAGGCGGGAAGGTCACTTGGATCCAGGAGTTTGAGATGAACACAGCAAGACTTGACAACACAGCAAGACTCTGTCTCAAAAACAGTCACAACAAAAAAGAGAGAGACAGAGAGAGAGACAGGCACGGAGACCTGCTGGGAGGAAAGCAAGTTGAGGCTGCACTCAGTGAGGCCTGGGCCGGGGGTCTGACGTTGCCTCCGCACTGGCAAACACCCTGCCCTGTGGGCTCCCTTTCCTGGTCTGTCGGGTGGGTCACGTGGCCCCTTTCCTGGGAGACAGCTTTACAGCACCGTGGCCTTGGGCGCCTATGGCCGGGACTCCAGGAGGGACGCAGGTGTCTGAGCAAAGGCCCTGCCCCAGGAACTCCCCGTGGGGGGGCAGCTGTCCAGGGAGCCCAGGGACTCAGGGGCAGGACTCAGGCCGGGCAGGGACAGCATGGTGACACAGCCTTCCGACAGACATCTCTTCCAAGGCTGAAGACTCGGGGCCCAAACAGAAGGGCCCTCCAGGGAGGGAGTCCCCGACAGTTCAGGGGTCACGGGGCCTCCGCCCTGCTGGCTCCGGGGAGAAGGGTGCTCTTCCTGCCTCCTCCCTCTGGACGCAGTTCTCACCGAGGACGGGTCCCCCAAGGGCACGGCCACGAGCGTGCTTGCGCTGGGCTGCCCCGGTCGGGTCGGCGAGCACCTCCGGACAGTCCAGCGGGAGGGAGCTCCGCGCATGCGCGCCAGGACTCCCGCGCCCGGGACAGCACACAGGGCTTCCCGGGGGGCGAAATGGCAGCGCCAGGCAGTGCCGAGGCTGCTGCCAAACCCTGAACAGAAAAGGCGCTTTCCAGGGCCAGGGAGCAGGCCGACGGAGCACGCAGTGAGACTCACCCTCCTGCCCCCGGTGGACGCTGCCGTCCAGGCAGGGGTGAGGCTGCTGGGTGGACAGGCTTCTCTGCAGGTCTCACCAAGGGAGCCACAGGCCTCAGAAGCAGACTCCGGCCCCTTGCCCAGCTCAGACAGCAGGGTGGAATTCTACCCTGGGGCTGGATCGCACTCAGCCCGGCCCTCTGGGGGAAGTCTGCACTCACTGTGGCACTGGGGGCCGGGTCTGATGCTGGCTGCTTCTCCAGCAGAATCAGACTACATTGCAGGCCTCCAGCTTCTCCAGGGGAGCAACGGGCAACACAACAGCGGCCTCCCACGCCTTGGATGTGTGGCCGAGGGCGCCTGGGCACCTCCTGATCTCACTGCCCTGTTCCTGCATCACTGCCCAAGCACCAGGGTACCTGTGGACCTTTCCCAGGCAGGACAGGTCTCTTCTGGGCCCTGGGTCCTCCTGTGTGAACCTGAGGCTGTCAGCCAGCTGACGCCAGCCAGCCCTGAGGGGACCTGGTACGGCACAAGCAGACCTGGTCCGAGGATCTGGGAATGGACTGGTAGTCATCCTACGTCTGCCAGCACTCGGGGCAGGGGACTCCTGCTGGCTGGCAGGGCTTTCGTCACTCCCCAGGAGATGGGGGTTCACTTCCACAGACAGCAAACACACAGGGCCGGGGTGTGCCTTCAGTTCTAACTTGCTATGCGACAGGTACTGTCGCCAGGGGCATAAGGCCTTGTTCTGACCTTCACAACAACTAACTCCATTTAGGAGATGAAGAACCAGGCTCAGCGAGCTCCTTCCCGTTCTCTGCCCCGAGAGCAGGCACCAGCTCACTGGGACTCTCCCAACTCACCAACTCCTGCCTGTCAGCAGCTAGGTATGGGTTCCTTCCAGCCCTGAGACAGTGGGTGAGGGGCAACAGCCAGGAGACTGGGCAGGAGGGACAAGAGGAGATCCTTCCAAGGCAGTTAGTTCCCTGGGGCATCCGGGGTGCTGGCACAGGGCAGTATTGCGGCTGTTCTGTTAGCAGAGGAGCCCGCAGCCTTGGAAGAAGCTGCTATGAACATGGTGGAATTCTGGAATTGTGACAGTCATGGGATGCTCATCAGGAAGGAAAGGCCCAGCAAAGCTGCTGAGCCCACTGGGCAGGAAGAGGACACAAGGAGAGCTGGAGAGTCACGTGGACATAGCTTCCAGTGTATTCTGCAGCAGATGGTAAAACCAGCCAATGCTCAGGCAGGGGTCTTCCAGGAGGTCTTGGATTTAAGAGCTTAGATTGATGCTACCAATCTCTGAGAATTAATGCCTCCTGGTTCAGCAAGCCTGGCCTGGCTTTGCTGTGTGTTCACCCTCAGGCAGGCAGTGCCTTCTGGGGGCATTTGTCACCCAGCCTGTTGTAGCCCTGAGCTTGTGCTGAAAGAGGCAGGGTCCCATGGTAACTTCTCACTGTGCAGGACTCACTCGGATAAGTCTAGAAAGAAAGCATCAGAGGGCTGGGGATTTGGCTCAGTGGTTCTGCCACCTGCCTTGCAAGCACAAGGTCCCGAATTCGATCCCTGGTACCAAAAAAAAAAGCAAGCATCAGAGACCAGCCTGGGGGTGGCGCTGGGGACCCAGCCCAGAGGCACAGTGCTTGCCTACTGGGTACACACCTCTGGGTTCACTCCTCAGTATGCGAAAAAAGTCCTGTTTGGGGGGCCTTTGTCCCTTGCACATGACTCCAAGCTACTAAAAGATTCAGAGACGTTGCAGAGCAGTTTGTAGTGGCAGGAAAAAAACCTAACAAAACCGCAACCCTCCTCACGCTTGGGATGGCGGGGGGGGGGGTTGAGAAGCAGGACTGCCCTGTAGCACTGCCACTGCCCTGGCTGCAGAGCCTGGAAGAAGCAAACCCTCAGCTGGGGACGCTGGGGCACGGCCATCTCCATCTCATCTCCCCTCTTTTCCCTTTCCCAAGAACTCGTTCCAAGAGCAGATGTGAACCTGCTGGGAGAGGCTGGTGCCTCAGTGGCTGCTGCCCCTCAGACCAAAACTGCGGCACCTTCCTGGGCCTGCCCAGGCCCTCAGTGCAGGGTGGAAGTGCCCACTGTCCAGTGGGTGCCTGAGCCCAGACTGAGCTCACAGGCGTGGCAGGGAAGCCTGGGCAGTCTGGGGTTTATCTAGAGCTCACGCTGAGCCTCCACTCATGCCGATGGTTCCCGGGCACGTCTTGGTCAGGCCCCTTCCCCCACGGGCACCCCAGGCTTGCTGCAGGGAAGTGCTGTCTGAAACCCTGAGGCACCTCCAGCCTGGCCTGTCTCCTGCAAAGAGGCCAAAGGCGGGGTGGGGGAGAAGGCAGGGGCGCAGAGCACAGG